GGACGGGGCTCTCGCCTCAGCCCGGCGGCGGCGGCGGCCGAACAATGAAGCTCCTGAAGCCGACCTGGGTCAACCACAATGGTGAGTGAACGCAGGGGTCGCGGGAGGCCGAGCCTGGCGTCAGATCGGGATCCGGAGTCGGGTTGGAGCCGCGCGCGGGCCATGCCCGCCTCGCTCCGGACGCCTGGTGCCCGGTGCCAGAGTCGCGGAGCCGGAGGTAACGGACTTTGTCCTCGGAGCGGGGAGACCGGCGAGCTCCGGCACGTGCTCCGCTTGGTTGCGGCGAAGTCTGCCTCCGCCTCCGCCCCAGCACTTGCGCTGAGCCCTCAGCCGCCCACCCGTGGTCCGTGGAGGCGCCGCGGCCTGGCTTTGGGGAGCGGCTCTTGGGCGCCAGCCAGTTCCTGCCACTCGTCTGCATCAGCCAGGATGTGCTCACATGGTTCCATGTGTGAAACCTGGGCGCAACCCCCCTTGTAGCCTTTAATTGGTGGGGTGAATACCTGAAATCTGCACGTCTCTGCCATACTGGAGGGGCTGTTAATGCTCCGGCTGAGGCCTGGATCTGGTGACAGTGCCCCCAGTTGGGGGGATGTGGCTCAGGGCTGAGGTCCCCCAGCCGAAGGAACCCCGTTTATTTTGAGCTGGGGTAACAGGGTGACTTGCGTTGGGGCCCATCAGGCACCAGTGTGTTCTAGGAGAGGGGCTTCCTTAGTTCTGTGGCTCCAAAGCATACCCTGGGGGATCTGATTCTTCCAGTCCTCTGGTTGAGAACAGACTGTGTGGTACAGAGAGCCTTTGGTAACCAGCAGTTTTGTCGTAGTTCTGCCTGTTGACACAACTGCAGGAGTTGGTTCCCCTACCCCCAAGCCCCCAGGAAGGTGAGGGAAGAGAGCCCCCATCCCCATGCTGACAGCACTGAAGCCCAGGGAGCATTCCCCCAGCATAAGGCCTGTAGTCCTGATTCCAGCCTGTCTCTGGCTACTGATAGGCAAAGGGTCACCCCTTGTTCCTCATTTCTACTTTGCAGTGCAGCTACAAGGAGCTACAGTTTTCTTTTAGAGCAAGTAGAGTAGATGCTTTTTCCTTTTTTGTACATAGAACTTTTCAGTTTTGAACCTGATCCGGGGGTTGCTGTGAACTGAACATCTGTGTTCTTTCAGTCAGAAGTGCTCTCCTTTCTGTAATATCTTTCTCATTTTTCAGGGCTCAGGTGAGGTCACCTTTTCCTTTTGTTACCATTCCTCCTGAGTTACTCCACTAGATGTGCTCTGTCCCTGTTGGTGTACTTTCCATATACCCCCAGGGTGGGGACTGCCTCATTTCCCTCTGTATTCCCTGCCACACTTAGCAATGTCTTCCACATAAAGGATATGTTGGCTAAGACAGGTAAGAAAGATGAGATTTCTGTAATTTATGAAGACACAACTAGGTTTACTGTACGTGAAAGCAAAAGCTGTGAACTTTAGTTTCATTTCTCCTGTGTTGATTTCCAAGAGCATTTCTTGATGTGTAGAGTATAGATCTTTTCCTGGAGAACTGGGCAAATGTTCAGTAATTATAAATTATGGTGCTTGTGAATCAGAAAAGGAAAGATTTCGTTATGAACTAGTTCGTTGTGTAAGTGATCTGAAGGAATTTTTATTTTAAAATAAAATTTTGCGTAGATCACTGTGTGTGTATAGTCAGTCTATCCTTTCCAGTCTCTCTTCAGCCTTCTGCCATATATTTTCTAACTTTGTGACAGGCTCCTTTGTAGGACACAAGTTCTGTCCTGTGTAAGAATCAGTCAGGATTCTTAAGTGATTATCTAGGCACAGACGAGTGAGAGTCTATAGTTGGGCCAGCAGCCAACATCCCAGCCTGGCAGAGTAGGCAGAGCAGTAGGCCTGGGCCCCTTGTTGCTGTGGGCTATCCATAGTCCTAGGATGGAACTTGATTATATCTGCTCTGCCTTCTTCACAGTACAATTGTGATGTTTGATCGGGAAGGTAGGTACAGAAGTGCACCCCAGACTGTAAAATGCTTTAGAAATCTAAGACGTAATTAAAAATTTTAAAAACTGAGACTGTGGCTGAATGGAATTTAACTTCTTTTAAACTTGTTCTTTGTTAAATTTCCTTTCTTTTAAAATCTTCTGAAATCAACCTTTGTCTTATCAAGCGTTCAGAAGACCTGTTAGGGTAAATTACCACTATCTTGAAGGAAATGATAACTGTCTGGATCATTAGCCAGTCCTATTGATCAGTCCTTTAAAAACTCGTGAAAACTGAGAGCTGCTGGGGTAGGAACTGCTTAGCCAGAAGCCAGAGTGGTGGGTGCTTACTTTGGATTAAACCAAAAAGACCATGGTGCTTTGGACATTGCATCAGTTGACTTTCTGGCTTCCTTACTCTGTATTTATGTCTCCTAACTTGTTATGTAGCTTGAACATACTTTTTCTGGTGTCTGAGAGTCCAATGAGGGATAGAGCAAGAGAGCCCAGCAGTTTCTCTGTGATGGTGGGATCCATTCAGACAGGGTGGAAAGGGCAGCTAGAATAGGGCAGGTTTAAGGCAAAGCAAGAAGTATATATTGGGGTGTAGGCATACTTTCAGTCTTCATTTTCCTGGCTGGCAATAGTGGTAAGACCTTTCCTCTAAGGTAAGGTTTCTCAGCCTCAGCACTGTTGACCATATAATTGTTCTGTGTGTTGTAGAATGTTAGCATCCCTGGCCACTACCCATCAGATGTCAGTGGTGCATATCCACCTATAAACACTCAGTTGTGACAACCAAAAATTTATCCAGACATTGACAATGTCCCCTGGTGGCCAGAATCACCCTCAGTTGAGAATCTTTGCTCTATGGTGATCAATCAATAAGTTAATAAATTTGAAGTTGTCATATCACAGTGAAATGTGTCTTGAAAATGAAATCAGATTGGGTTCAAGATGCCATCGTTTACTAACTGTAAATTCTTGTGATTGATTCCACTTCTGGACCTTGGTAAAGTTGAGTAAATATAAAAACTCACCCCTATCATTTCACCCTGGACCCAAAGAGTGCCTTAACGTATATAATAGCTAATAATATTTATAACATATAGAAGTTAGGTACCAGGCACTGTTCATACACACATGTTTTACTCTCTGTTCTTAGCTATAGTAGTCTTTATATTTTATTTTAGGCTTGGCTAAAATAAGGTTCATTTCATAGTTATGTTATATCCATATATTGGTTAGAAAGTGAAAGTGATTGAGATTTTGGTTATAGAAAAATCCCAATTTGTATTTGAGTGTTTAGGAAATTTCATTGAGATGGGTTCTTCCTATAACTTGGCCTTTGTTCCTTAGAGTTTTTTCTGGAATTCTCACCTCTGGGCAGATAGTATTCATGCTCAGCTCTTCAGTGAAGCCCATTCTAACCAGAAGGACCAGGACAGAAAGAATTCTCATCCCCCTTTGGCCTCTGGCTCAACACTGCTTTGATGGCAGTGTTGTAAAAGGTGTTTGGAAATTTTTCAGTAATAGGACAATTTGT